CCTTCCTAAGCCTTATGGAAAATAAACATCACACAAAGAGGAGGCCAGACTCTGTCTGTCTGTGTCCAGAAGAAAGCAACAGCACCTGACAACACTGTGTACCAGAGGGAATGCCTCTATCAGACACACTACAGGGGCTTGAGCCAGTATCACACCGGGAAGGACCAGGCAGTCCACAGCAAGATGTCCCTGGTCTTCCTTCCCTTCTACCTTTATTTATGCAGTAACAAACCCAGATTAGCATTATATATGATATTGGTTATGGGGAGGTCATACCATCAAGGTGGTTACTACAGCAGGTTTCCATGCCTCGATGTCTTCCAGTTCTCCTCTGTGAAGAATCTATGGTGGATATGTCCTCATCTCTCACTCTTGGGGCAGCCAAGTGCATTACGCTGCAGAGCTCTATCTGGGCTGCAGATATCCCACAGCCTGACCTAGCTGATTTAAAATGAGCTTGGGTATTGTCACTGTACCGTGCTGTCTGAAATGTGGACAGAGCCTGGGGGCAGGGACAAGGCAGGTCAGCCTGGGGGGTCTCTGGCTGTATGGCCGACTGGGGCAGTTCCAGCTGCATGCTGAATTTCATTTCTTACCACACCAGTCTGTTACAGGGGCAGCCCCAGCTGTGTTAGGGACCACACTTCTTGTTTATATGAACCAAATTTACCTCCAAGTAAGTAAAGGCTAATAACAACAATGATTTTTTACGGGGTTATTGTCTTTTATCCAGGAGCCTAAATGCACTTTCAGTTACAGTCACTATAGAAATAAGAAGCCAAACTGCAGATGCTCTAGGGAGCACAGTCATTGCTTTACTGTTGCACTGTCATTTCAGGGAGTATTCACATGTTTTACTTAGCAGAATTTAACTCGGGTGTATTAAATTTTCTTCTGCAGGAGCCTGTCTGTGACTGCAAACTGCATAAGTGACCCACAGAGACCATCCTCCCAACTTTGGTACTTCATTTAAGGGCTGGGAAGCTGTAAATACCTCTCCCTGCCCCACAGGATTACAACATGACCACACTGAATCAGCCAAAAGAGAGGGCTCCTGCTGATTAAGGGGTGAAATTACAGAATAGGTAGCTGTCCCCTTTGCTTTGCACAGTCAACAGTGTCATAAAATGAATTTGTAGGGCTTGGCTGTAAGCACTGGTACATCTCACAGACATTTATATGGCTCACACTTTCTAATTTGTCAAATGATTTTTCCTCCTGGCGACAGCTGGTTACCTGGTCATTTATCCTTTCATATTGTAAAGGTTTTAAGCTTGGTCTCAGAAGACAAAATATTTTTCAAGGAGTTGTAAGAAAAATCTGGGGGTTTTATTTCCAAAGCAGTGAAGTAAGTAATAGACACCGTACAAAGCGTTTCTGCTGCTGGACTCAAGTCATGGCTGTGAGGACAAAGCAAATACCATCCCGGTGATTCATGATCCTGCCGAGACAGCTTGTTGAATCACAAATTCAAAGCTTCCGTTTTCTAGCATTTCAAGACATCAAGCTCAGCACTTGATGATGTGCATGGATGTCACTCATATCTGAGAGAAGAGCCTTTATCCGCAGTCCTGTCAGAGCTGAGCAAAACTATATGTTTAATGTCATAGAAGTGGTACGGCTTAGCCTTCAAATGGAGGAAGCTCTTCTACAGCTGGCAATTGGAGTGGTACTTTTAGTTGTACTACACAGAAGAATGATAAGGTATGAAGATGGGCTTTTATAAAAACTAGGCAATTTCAGCATTGTTTCAGAAATCAAAATACAGATCTTCAATGTAAAAAAATACATACAAAAGCTAAACAATATTTCATTTTTGCTGTCCTCACCTATCAACATGTATATTTTTACAACTGAATAAAAATAATTCATTGGTTTGCCTTTGGAAAGCTATTTTCCTGATATGCAATGCAGGTTTTGCCTCACATCTCAAAGAGATTACCAGTTACGCAGAACTATGATTCTGGTTGATATACGAAAAAATAAGCAGTAAGAAGAATTCAGAACTTGTTAATCCCAGCTCCAGGAAGATAAGCCACTCTTTC